CACTGTACTGCATGTGAACACTCTTCAGACCCAGCAGCATCTCAGGGCCACACAAACCAGGCCCGGCTTCTCACCTCAGCGGGTGGGCCCTGTGTCCTTCTTGGCCTGGCGACACCATCTCCACCACTGGCACTGGGGAAGGGTGACCCCGGGAACCCTGAAGTGAAGGGTTTTCCGCTGTGCTGAGTCTTGGTCTTACCAGCCCTTCCCCACACAGTGCCTGATTAAACACGCCCTAGCACCGCGCCAGGCGCTTCACTGGACTTCTGCTGTGTGGAAGGAGTCATTTTGGAGCAAAACCCTGCACTGTCTTGGTAGTTTGCAGGAATCTTGGGCTCTTTCCAGGCTAGCACTGCTGGCCTGGTCAGTTGCTGCATCTGGGGACTTACCTTGCATTCACAGAGACAGGTTCCCCTTCCTGGGGCCAAGATAAGCTTCCTTTGTTCTCTCTTTGCATTGTGGTCTGTTTCTCTAGCTTCTTTGTAACTTCTAATTTTCCTGTTGGTTCCTTCCCAATTCCCAGAGGTCGACTTTTCTTCTTCTTCTTCTTCTCCTTCTCCTTCTTCTTTTCTCCTTCTTCTTTTCTTCTTCTCCTTCTCCTCCTCCTCCTCCTCCTTCTCCTCCTTCTCCTCCTCCTCCTCCTCCTCCTCCTTCTCCTCCTCCTCCTCCTTCTCCTCCTCCTCCTCCTCCTCGTCCTCCTCCTCCTCCTCCTCCTCCTCCTCCTCCTCCTCCTCCTTCTCTTCACCAAGTTGCTATTTTCCAAAGGACTGGATTCTGGGTCTCAAAGAGGCTGAATTTTGCTGCTGGTTATAGTTTTGTGGTCCTCCCCCACAAAATCTATATTCGTCTTCTCTGTTACTATAAGAAAAGGCCGCAAGCTGGGTAGTTTAAACACAGGAACCCTTCCCATAGTTCTGGATATTGGAAGTCCAAGATCAAGCTGCCAGCAGGCTGACATCTGGTGAGAACTTTCTGCTTGGGCTGCAAACCGCTCCCTTCTTCCTGTGTGTTCACGCGGCCTTTCCTTTGTGGTTACACAAAGAGGAATAGAGTGTGGAGCTCTCTAGGGTCCTCTTCATGAGCACACTAATCCTACGGAATAAGGAGCCCATCCTTCTGACTTCATTAACTTAAACACTCTCTCTCCAAGCACAGTCACATGAGGAGGTCTGCGTGAATTTGTAGAGGACACAATTCAGTCCGTAGTATTCACAAGAGAGGGAACATTCAGGTCTGGCCCTCTGATGGGTCATGGTAATGGGTCACGGCAAGATCTCCAGGGCAGTATGAAAGGGACAAATGGCATGGTCTGACATCCATCCACCCTCAGATTCTACCTCTTTTCTGCTATATTTCCTCAGTTCCAGCACTCATCAGCCCCCCTTCCATGCCAGCAGCATCTCCAGGTGCAGGGAGCTGCGCGACTGCCCGGCTGCTGTCTCCCCGCCTGTCCCTCATACGGGCACATAATGTTCCTACATTAAGCATAATCTCTCCTACCTACATCATGTACGCAGACATGACGATGACCCGTCAGAGATCACCCCGTAGCCTCTTCCTGTCCCACCGGCCCGCCCCTGCCCTATAAAAGCTGAGACCACTTCCTCAATAAACGAGACTTGATTGGAGTTCCTCGACTTGTCTCCGTCTCTCTGTCTCCGGCCCTGTCTGTGTTAATCCCCGTTCCTTCTCCAGGAAGCTGCCCCGCGGATCTGGATTGACCTGTGGGCCGGGTCATCCAGGGACAGCGGCCAGGGCCTGTCCTGCCGTGCAGCCTTGTGGAAACCTGGAGTTGGTCTCGGGTCCACCCCAGCTTTGCCACTGCTGAAAATGAAGCTTAGCCTTCAAACCTTTGTATTTTTTTCTTTTATGTAATAAGAAGTTTGGAATAGATGATCTCAGGTTGTTCTAGTTCTAAAATTTTTTGAGTCTGCATGGTAAATGAAGAGGTGGCGAGAAAGACATGGAAGTATTTTAAGACTACACAGTTTCCAAGGAGATCCAGAGACATAACGGGGGATTCCCAAGAAGACAGAGTCATTAGCAAAAGTGGCTGTCAGGCTTAGAGGGCGGATGTCAATCCAGACCTGGGGAATGCGGAGATGGGGGCTGTTGGCAGAGGTTCAAAAGAGAAAAGAAAACAGAGGTTTGGGGGAGCATAAGCAAGACTTGAGAATGACTAGCAAGATTAACTGGGTGGAGGATTTAGCTTAGTGGCATAAGCACCTGCCTGGCAGGTGTTAGGTCATGGGTTCAATTCCCAGGACCAAAAGAAGAAGAAAGATCATTCAGTATGGGGACACATGCAGTATTTTCAATTTATTATTACACATTTCAGAAATACCAAAATACACACAAAATTGCATAATGAGCACTGTGTCTCCAGTGGCCATTCTCAAATATTATTTATTACCACTGCATGACAATACCCCACGGTCTAAGGTCCCTTCCTTCACCACCGAGACACAGTAACTGGGGCCCTGAATGGCTTATGTATCATTTCTAGTAGCTTTTCACACTTCTGCTACATATGTGTGTTTTCAGGGACAATATTTTCTTTTTTTAAAAAAAATCAGATTTAGGGCTGGAGTGTAGCTTCATGAGAATGTTTGTTTAGTGTGTGTAAGGTCCTGGGTTTAATACCCACCAATGCAAAATAACTTTGTTTAACTCAGATTTGATGTTTAAAAACTGAGAAGTAGGAGTATTGGGGTCCTGGAAATAATAAAGCGTCGATCATCTTCTTGATGTGAGAAAAACACACGCCTGGAGCATCTAGGGCCAGGAGGAATGCAGTTATTTCAGCCGCTGCCTTGCAGAGTTCAGTTCAGACCGCTGGGAGCTGCCTTCTGGAAATTCCAGCATTGGGAAATCCGAGCCACGGCTTAAATTTAAAAACGTAAATAATAATAAAAAGGTGGCTGGCTTTGCATGGTTCTAGGAATGAAAACAACCTGAATTCCCTTTAGATAACCCAGCGCTGAAGGGAGGCTTCCTAGCAAACCGGTGAAAAGGTGCTTCTGGTGACGTTAATAACACAGAGGGAACAAGCAAAAGGGTTCCACAGTGTTGCTTTGGAAATTATATGTCTGAGTAACTCATTTAATTCACAATTCGCTCTCCCTTTTTTCCAAAAATCTGTGCATAATTGGGAATTCTTGAAAAGTGAGGAAATCAAATCCACAGATTATTCTCAAATGTGTGAAACGCTGTGTGAATGCCAACGTTAGCACTGGGTGAAGCTGCCGTGCCACATTTGTGTGCATGTCACTAAACAGCTCCTCTCTATCTTGTTCTTGTATTTTAGAGCCAATAATTATCCTCAGGCTTCAGGCACTGTCCTTGGCCAGAGGTGTTTGCTAACACTGCGAACACAGGCAATCAACAGGCCAAGTGATTTGTCCAAACATTTAGGGTGCTTGAGCTTTCCTGCCAGGAGTACCCAGCCCACACAGTGCTTTTACACTTCGGTCTGTAGCACACTTTAGAATCTAGCAGAGGCCATGGCCTCCCCTCTTGCTCTTCCTCCTCCCCCTCCTCTTTCTGTCCTAATATTTTCTTTCTTTGGTTCTCTAGATGAACACTGACATTATTTTGTCAGCTTCTGGAGGGAAAAATAATCTCTCCAGGATTCTGATTGCAATCAGTTAATTCCCTAAATTCATTTGGAGGATGTTTGCTTCTTTACAATATTGAGTCATCATTCAGAAATGCTGTAAGTCCATGCAAGTCTTCTTTTCCAGGTCCACTAAAAATTACGATTGCCCTATTTCTTTCTTTTTTTTCTTTGCCTGCCACTGAGTTCTTTACTAAGATCTGCTCTTGGCTGATTTCCAAACAGCCTTTAATTTTCCACAAGAACACCACTGAAGGGGCTGGGGATTTAGCTCTGTGGCATAAGCACCTGCCTTGCAAGTCTGTGGTTGTGAGTTCAATCCCTGAAGGAGGCAGACTCATGATCACTGCCTGGAAGAGAATCTCCCAGGAGAGCAGGAGACTGCACCCAGCACCGAGTAGGACTGTGTGCCGGGACACTATTTGATATGTGGTCCTAGGGATGGAGCTCATGCCCACACCTACCTAAACCTGTATCTTTTCTCTCACCACTTTATTAACACGATACAGAAATCCTCCCTGCTTTTAAGCAGGTAACTGTTGCAGAGAGAGGATGAAACAGAGCAGAAATCAAATCACATCTGTTGGTTTCCAGCAGCTTAAATCCAGTAGATAATTCACCGAAATCCAGTAGATTTGACCTCAGAGGCCGAAGGATCAGACAGATCCACAGACATGCCACAACAGATCAGGGACTTGGGAAGACCCTGTCTCTAAAATAAAATAAACAAAAGGATCTAAGATGTGCTCAGGGTGAAGGCCCTGGATTCAATCTCTAAGGTGGGGGATGAGGAGCAGAGCTTCCCAGGGAGGTGAGAACGGGGGAGATGAAGGAGGGACTTTTGTCAGTGAGCCTGGCCTTGCTCCTGGCTGCACATGGGTAGGGGGACTCCAAAGAAAGGTGAAGATAGACTCTCCTAACCCATGGCAAGTCACCAGCAGAAAGAGCTTGCAGACATGAAGGAGCGCTTGGGAGGAGGAAGATGTCATCACCAGGATGGGCCACTGGTAGGGATCAGCCCGGCCCTGCGCCACTGTTTGATGAACTGGACAGGATGGGGAGGAGGCGTCTTCGGCGTACCCAGGTAAACAGGCGACTCTAGAATGTTCTCCCAAAGGGAGCTGCCCCTCGGGGAGAGGGCAGGAAGCCCCTGCCTGTGCTAGGCTCCCTGGATAAAAGAGGAGGGAACCCTGGCCCTCTGCGGAGCTTAGTCACTGCTGCTGATGTGCTGTCGCCCCGCCGGTCCGCGTCTCCGGGTCACTTGGATGCAGAAGCAGCATCTCAGGTTAGGGGGCTCAGGATGCAGTAGGAATGGGGGGGGGGTTTGTCCCGTGGCCTCTGCTGAGCCCACCAGCCTGGCAGGAAGGACAGGGCCTGTGTCGCAGCAGGTTCTGCAGCGGAGCTACAGCACAGTAGGCTGGGCAGGCAAATCGCGTGGAGGGCAGCGGGGTCCTCCCGGGTCCCCCCTTTCCGAGCTCCGATTAAAGCGCAGGTGAGACTGCAGCCAGCAGGGGGCGCCAGAGGACCGACAGTGCGCTGGGGGTGCGGAGCTCGGGACCCCGCCCCGGCCAGACCGGCTTGCACCCCAGTCCCAGGAGCCAAAAGGAGAGGCTCCCGGGGCGACAGCCAGGTGGAGGTCACTGCAGGTCCGGCTCCCTGAGTCGGCCTGGAGTTTACCTGCAGGCTGAATAAGTGCGCTGATGGCCCAGGCAGGCAGTGTGGCTAATAAACCGCGTAGACGAGGGCGCTTAACGCGTCTGTGTTTCCGTATTTCTTCCCCTTTCCCCTTTCATCTCTTTCTTTCCTTCTCTCATTCTTCCTTTTCTCTGTTTTCTGTCCCCCTCCTCCCTTTCCTTCCATCTGAAACCCTGGCCCAGTCCCTCGGGAGCCGGGCACCCTGCCTGGGGCTCCCCCACCCCCATGACCTGCTCCTCCTGGGGGGACAGCGGCAGCTGGACCTCAGCAATAGCGGGGTAATTGGGAGCAGAGGTCAGAGGGCAAAGCCCAGGTTCCACGGGTTGCCCGCAGAACTCAGCAGCCTGTTGCCAGGTAACCACGTCTCCCATCCCCGCCCCAACGCAGGGTCCTGAGGCCCAGCCTGAGCCTCTGCTTGGCTTCTGCCCAGTCTCTCAAACACATGTACCTTCTGTGAGTCTCAGGAAGCCAAAGGAGAGGAGATCCACACCCCGGCCGCTACTCCTGAGCCCCACCCTCCGACCCCCACCCCCCTGGGGCTCTGACACCTACTGTCCCACTGCGAAGGCCCCGCCTGGGCGGGTAGGTCACTGCCACCATGAGTCTGGGCATCATGGAGGAGGAAGACCTGGTTGAGTACTTCCGGCTGCAGTATGGGGAACGGCTGCTGCAGCTGCTACAGTGAGTGACCCGTCCATCTGGCCATCCCTTCGCCCACCCCATCCCCTACCCTCCAGCCCACCCCTCTGCGCCTGTGTCCAGCACTCCCAGTCCCCCAACCCAGCCCTCGCCTGCTCCCCTAACACCAAGTCCTCTTCAGCGCATCCCCAGGGCTGGGGAGAAGAGCCTTCTGCTTCCCCAGGGCACCTCCTGCCCAGTCTCATAACCCACGGGGTCTCTCACCCATGTCTTGGCCAGGAAGTTGCCCCCTGTGGATGACCAGTCAGAGTCCCCGTCCATCCGGCTCCTGGAGAAGAAGAAGGAGGCCACCATCATCCATCAGGCGATGGAGGAGAAGAAGGAGGTGGGAAGCCTGAGCTGGGGGTGGGAGCAGGGGTGCAGAGGGAGGGGGCTGGCTGGGGCTTAGGGTGTGTCCCCCGGCTTGTGGCTGGGGGTAGCTAGAGCCAGAGCCGGGGCTCTGGCCAGTGGTTCTGCGCTCTTCTGCTGGGGAGAACAGAAGAGACCTAAGTCTGGGGAAACCGGGTGCTGGGATGCTCTGATCCGGGCACAGTGTGGAGAAGGGAGGCCTCCCTGCACCTGGGGACCGGCAGGAGACTGCGGGGTAGGAGATCCTGGGGTCTGCTGGGGTGCTCACGTCATGACTGCTCTGCTTCTACCCCCGAAGACATTTAAGAACAGAATGGAAACCCTGAAGCTGCGCTGGGAGGAGCTGAGCGTCAAGGAAGAGCAGCTGAAGGCCCACATCCAGAAATTCGAGCAGTTCATCCAGGTAGGAGGGCACGTTCCCCTGCCCCCTCATTTTCACAGGCTGCTCATTGGGTTAAAAGCACTCTGGGTGCTCCACACAGTCACACCTGGTGCTTCCACAGACGTGCTCTGTGTCTCCCACTGTGCTGAGCGCTGTTTCCCCGCAGTGCCTGCCCCATCCCGTGGCTGTTTCCTATTTCCTTGAGTACAGTGTATCCAGCCAATGGGCGGATGGATGGATGGATGGATGGATGGATGGATGGATAGACAGCAGCGCTCACTGTGGATAAGCACTTGGGGGCACAGTGAATTAAGTGGAGGTTTCAGTCTCCTCTAGACTCTATTGTTTTCTTCTTGAACCAAAGGTAGGAGACTGATGAAGGTGGGGAACCATGCAGCCGAGTATTCCAAGACAATCCTCCCTGAGAGAAAACGTGTGTGTGTGTGTGTGTGTGTGTGTGTGTGTGTGTGTGTGTGTGTGTGTGTGACTGTGGGCTGAACCCAGGGCCTTTGCACTATGTTTCTGGCCTTTTTTAAAATTTTATTTTGAGACAGGACCTTCCTAATTTGCTCAGGCAGGGCTTAAACTTGCAATCCACCTGCCTCGGCCTCTCGGGATTCAATCATTTTACAATCCAGATTCACCTGCATCTGCTCCTGTCGGGCTGGCAGAGCCCCGAAGGCCTGGCCCGGGGTCATGAGAGATAACTGCTGTGCTCTCTTTCAGAGGAGCCTGCTCTAATCCACTCTGTCACACTCTGTCCCTAACCACGCAGGACAGGAAGTTGGCGAGCTGGGCCCATTCTCCTCAGATCCAGTCCCTCTCAGTAGCCGTGGAAAAGCTAGTGGAGTAGTTGGGGGTGGCGGGAGAGTTGGGGTGAGGGTGTGCCGGATGGTTTTCCGAGGGTCAGACGCTTTGGCATCACATTTGTTACAAATACAAGACTCCAGTGAGTTTTCTCTCTCTCTTCGCTTTCAGCAGGTCTGGAGTTGGCCTCCCCACATTATTTTAATTCACGGGTAGATTTGCAAACTATTAGTTTAGGGCTCCTGTCTCCTCCTATGCTTCCATAGCAAAGCACAAATCCTCCACGCGCCTACCTCTGTGTCCTCCAAATGCTGCCATCACACCTGCCTGTGCATGCAGCATCACAGGAGCCCTATAGAGGAGAAAGGGGGCACAGGAGAACAAACATGCAAGGAGTGGGCTTTGCTGAAGAAGGTGGATTTAGACTGAGCTGAGCCTTATTCCTCCTTTCTGGGCATGGTATTGACTGAACCCTCTCCTCCAGCCCCAGCTGGTGCTAGTCTGAGCCCCCCAGAACACGCCTTGTCTTTGTATAGTTAATCACCATTGTCTACAGTTTTCAAAGCAGAAAGGGGCTACTGTTTCACATTGCTGTGGTTGGAGAAGTTGAGGCACTGAGTACCAAATCAGGAGAAGATTTAGTCTTCCCAGCCCTGGCCCAGCCAGCTGCCCCATGGCAAATGGCCGCCACTCAGGACAGAAACAATGCAAGCCCTGTCAGGGGGCTCCAGCTCCCACTCCTGGACCCCCTCAATCCTCCCCAGGCTTGAGTTCTTTCCAGGGACCAAGCCTATCTTAACCTGGGTCTTCCTGCCTCCTTTGAATCCTGGGTTCTCCCTTGTCTGCTGTATGAAGTACAGAGCTCAAATCCCGCAGAATCTGAATCATTTCCTGTCTGCCCCTCTGAAGGCCAGATCTTGACTTTGAGCTAAACTTCTGTTCTTGTAGCCTCCTGAGCTGTATCTCAGTTCACAGTCCTTGTACCCCCTGGCCTGGGCTCAGCAGGAAGGGAAGGTCTGAGGCCATCAGCAGGCCCCAGCAAGCAGAGGCCCCGCGGAGGGCAGGGCAAGACCGCTTGACCCACGCCACCTCTCTCATCCCAGGAAAACGACCAGAAGCGGATACGAGCCCTGAAGAAAGCCAACAAGGAGCGGGAACTCAAGAGGTATCACCTGCGGGACCTGACCAAGGCTAAGCAGGACATGGTGGCCCTGCGGCTGGAGCACCAGCGGCTGAGCGCCAAGCTGCAGGACTACGCTGTCTTCAACAAGTACCTGGAGAAGGTGGTGGAGAACTCCGAGGTGGGTCCCACTGCGGCACCTCCTGCACCACCCTGCTCCCCGGGGCCTGGCTGGATGCTGTACCTGGAGTGCTGTGGGTCCCAGGATGGTCACACAGGGGTGCAGCTGAAAAGGGCCCCAGTTTTTCTGGGAGGGGTGCTGGTGGTGGAGTTTCACGTGTGTGTGTGTGTGTGTGTGTGTGTGTGTGTGTGTGTGTGTGTGTGTGTTGGGGGTGTGGCTTGGGAGCATCACACTCGGCCTGCATCAGCACGAGGCCCACATCTATTCCCTCTTTCCCATCCCTCCTGGTGTCTTTGGTTTATTTGGCAGTAAACTGCAGAGAGGAAAAGCACCCAGCCTAGCACAGAGCTGGCGAGTTTAGGACATGCAGCCCGCACCCCAGGCTCAGTGCTCTGCATGCGCCTCGAGGCCTGCGGTCCATCCTCTCATTAGCCCAGCAGGACAGTAACTCCTTCACCATGCACACAGGGACAGCCACAGGGTGGCCCGAAGGGTAGGAAACCTGCACCGGGCCTCCCCGCTTGGACTGGAAGAATCTGTGACTTTGACCCCTCTCCGTTGGGCCTCCAGTGCCCCAGACACCCACTGTCCTGCAGCCCCTGCAGGCAGAGCTCGGGGGACTTGAGGCCTCTTCCCAGCCAAGCCCACTGCAGCACTGATGCTCTGGCTGCTCCTCCATGGAATCTACATTTCCCCTTGACTGTGATGTGACTGCATCAGTGACTGTCCCCTGCTCTCCCACGAGGCCAGCACAGGACATGGATCAATGTCCCGTGAGGGGCACAGGCAGACAAGGGCACACAGCTTTATAAAGTGCCTGCAGCTTCTGTGTAGAAACAGTAACCTACTTTATTCCTACAGGAATCCCAAATCTGTGTCATTTCTTTTACCCTAAGATCCTGTGTGCCGCAGAATAAATTGTTCACTTGATAATTAGAGGAGTTTTTTGAGGGAAGTGGAGGATAAAAGACCACTATGTTACATCAGCAGATAAATCATAAGACGTCTTTTTTTTTTTGGGGGGGGGGGTCTTTTTGAGACAGGGTCTTACCATGCAGTTCAGAACAGTGTGTAGCCTAGGCTGACCTTGAACTCACAGAGATCCTCCTGTCTCAGCCTTCTGAGTGCTGGGATTACAGTAAGACACGTCTTAAACTCAGAGCTGGTAAAATGGTTACCTTAGAACAGGACCCTGGCTGGTATTTCCTAAGCTTCGGCCCCTTGTACCTAACATGTCCCCAGCTCATCTGCTTCCTGCCACCCTCAGGCCAGGTCAGCTGGTGTGTCCCATGCTGGAAAGTGACGTGACTGCCCACCTGCAGCCCAGCCCGAACCCAGAGGCCATCCTGGACTCTGCCCCCTGCTCAGGTCTGCAGCCATCTATCGGGCAGAGCTGGTCACTTCTGCCTCCTGAGTCTTTCTGGGATCCAGCCCCCGCCCCTCCTCTATTCAGTGTCCCCCTCATCTGGAGTTCAACTCTGTGTCATTTCTGGTCCAACCATTCACAGTCTACACTCTTCTTCATGTCTCTGTCTCTGTCTGTCTGTCTGTCTCATTTTACTTTGTTCAAAATATTCTAAGCATACTGGAAAGTGTAGAGAAACACATGACCCGAGAGCTTAGCACAGGGCTTTGTCAGATGTGAATATCTTCCCAATTTTTAAAAAATAAAACACTGCTGGCCATGGAAAGGCTTTTTGTGTCCTCCAAATCTAACTTTTCCTCCTCTCCTTGGGAGTAGCCAATATCCCAATTTTTAAGTTTCTAAATCTTATGCTTGCCCATAAACTATGAATCATATTACACATACCCATCTATCACCTGCTTTTTTCAAAAATTTAAGTATACTTTTGTATTTAATTGCCACATAATAATTTATCTACTTATGGAGTGCAGGGTAACATTTCAGTGTATGCGTGCAATTTGTAACGCTCATGGGGCTGGGCATTTAGCTCAGCGGCATAAGCGCCTGCCTTGCAAGTGTGTAGTTGTGAGTTCGATCCCCGGTACTGATAAAAAAAAAGAAAAAGACAAAAAAAAATAAACTCTATCTGTAATGCTTGTGATGGTTTTGTTGTCAACCACAGTTATCCTGCTGTGCTATTGAACCTTTCTATACAGCTGTCCTGTACCGATCAGTATTTGTAAGAAACTGCATATTTTGGACAACTTCTCGTTAAGAGAAATAGAGAAATAGTCTGTCCAATGTCCATTACTCGTCAACTCACTCAGCAATAGAAATTCTAGTTATATCCCCCACACCTTCCTGCAGCCACCTTATTAAACAGCATTTTTCCCCCAGAAGTATTTTAATTTGTATCTCTGACAGATGAAAACGCCTTTTAAAATGACAATGAGATTGTAGTACTGTACATATTATAAACCTGATGGCCACTCCTTGTATCAGACGGCCAGCTGGTCACTGTAAGAATGCTTTTTGTACAGACGGTTTGTTCCAATCAAGGCCCAAACCAGTGTCCTCATACTGTAAGTCACAGACACTGTTTGGAGCCATTACTATGAACAAAAAGATACATTGTACAGTTCCACTGATATATTTAAAAACAGGTAGAAAAGCAACTCTTTCCTTGATCACCTACGTAATCAGAGAACTGACTAAATGTTTACTGCTACTTTTTTTAAAAAGTGCTTGAGTTTTTATGGTATTCAGCATAACAAATTGGTTTTCCATCCATCCTTCAAAAATGACCTGTAACTGTTAACATTATTGTGGGTGTTTTATCAGAGTGAGTACCCTTCAATTTTATCCTTACTAGTGTTCAGATTGTCCGCTCTTTGGACAGTTGGCCCCCCTGTCAGTCATCCCGTGAGTCCTTTTGGGGTGAGAATGGGATTTCGCGAGTCCCTCCTGGGGTCCCTGACGTGGCCCGCTCGCCTTAACGCTGTGTGCTGTTGCCTCCTGCCCCTGGCGAACCTCAGGAAACAAACATGAAGTTGTTACTCGGCTGCTTAAAACCCTTTAGTCGCAGGGTTCACCCCTTTGCTTAGCCTGCTCCGCAGCCGTTGCCCACGCCCTGTACTAGCGATTAAGCCTAGGGACCAGCAGCTACATCTGCAGCTCTGTGTATTTATTTTTATTTTGTGCCTCCAGTCTGGTTTGCACCAGCCTTTCTCCCAGGAAACCTTTTCTGGCTAGCCTTGCCTCTTCCTACCCTGGTTTGGGTGGCCCTTTCCCAAGAGGACACTTCCCAGGACGCTGGCCTCTCACTGGACGTGTCTTGAAGTAGGGAAAGTGTCTGCAGAGTGGCTCCCAGGGGCTGGACATCACGCAGGGCTGTGCCTCCAGGGAAGGTGGACTGGTCTCAGGGAACTGGACATCAGGCCCTGTCTAAAGAGGCCGCATGGCTTTTGGTCTGTTCGGGTGGGGACTTCCAGTTAGGGACAGAGGGGCATGGACCACAATGGAAGACAGCTGGACCTGGTGGACCACCTCCCACCCTGGGCCGCCCAGCTTCTTGCCCAGAAAATATAGAGCTACCAGCAGACAGCACCATGCTGGAGGTCCCTGGCCCCCTCTCAGTGCCACCCTGCCCCCGAGCCTCCATAAGGCTTGTTCTCTGTGTGGATCCAGCTGTTTATTTGTCTGTCTGTCCTCCCTCTACCCTGCAAGCTGTCAGCTTCACAAGAGCGGGGTCTGGCTCCCTTAATGTTACCTTCCTGTAGCACAGCCCTGGCTTGGAAGTTGCTCTTGGGAAATTCTTGTGATTGGGAGAATCACTGCCCTGGGAAACATCTCCAAATGCGTTCTACTTACAATTCTCAGCTCTGGCCTACAATCACATGGGGGATCTTTGCAAACTTCAGATACCAGGGGCCACCTTAGATCTGTTACTGATCTGAATCTCTGGGGATAAAACTTGCTGGTATCCTTTTAAAACTCCCTAGATGATTCTAAGATGCAGTGAAGGTGGGCAGCCCCTGGTTCAATTATGCATATCCCCAACATTCCGGCCATGGCTCGTGCCAACCCAGGAGAAACAGGCATCAGGACCCCTGGTTCCTCATCGACTATGCCTTTATCCTGGCCAGGAACCTAAATGAGCAGACATCCAGGTATCCAGACATCCAGGTCGAGGGTCAGCCAGCTAAGACAACTGTCTTGGTCGACACTGGAGTGACCAAACCCTCTCCCCCGTCAGTTTGAGGAGATCCACGAGGTGATTGGGCGCTACAAGACGCTGGTCAGCATGCACCACGACCTCATGCAGTCGGCGCAGGAGGGCCAGGAGAAGATCGAGCGGGCCAAGGCGCGGCTGGCGAGGTACATGGAGGAGAAGGACGATGAGATCCTGCAACACAACAACGAGCTGGCGAGGCTGCAGATGCGTTTCGACCGGGCTCGCAGTGATGTCATTATCTGGGTGAGGCGCCTGGGCCACAGGGGCTGGGGTGCAAGGCTCCAGGGTGCTGGGTGTGTGAGCTGCAACCCCGGGTGTGGGCACACACACACACACACACACACTGTGCTCTCCTCAGGAGTCCCGCTGGGCACACATCCAGAACACTGCCGCTAAGAAGACCCTCCTGCTGGGCACCATTAAGATGGCAACGCTGAACCTCTACCAGACTGTGAGCAAGCAGCTGAAGGAGGCCTCCCAGGTGTCGCTGGAGGACACTCACAAACAGCTGGACATGGTAGGCGCTGCTGGGTGCCGGGGCCGAGCGAGGCCTAGCTAGCCAAGGATGTCCTGGGCTGGTTGCGTGGGGAAACTCCTGGGGCAGGGCAAGGGCTCGCACCTGCGAGCAGCATCAGAATCCCCTGCACTTGGAATTAGGTACAATCGGTCTGAGATGTGAATCCAGGGATTTATATTCCCAGCAAGTTTCCAAGTGATGCTGCTAGCTGAGGGAACCATGTTATCAGTGCTGATGGTCCTAAACTACAGGGCAAGACAGACCCCCCAGTATGTTAGCTGCGCAAAAACAGTCTACTCAATTCTACTCAGACCCTGGAACTTGCTAAAGGCTTGTGCTTGAGGCCCATTCTTTGTTAAAAAAAAAAAGAAGGAAATTGGCAAGTTTAGAGCAATGTTAAAATTGCGTTAGCACCAATCTGCAGTGTTCTTTGCAGTGGAAAGAAAATTGAAAAGGAGTTAAAGTTTTCATTGTATGTCACTGTGCCACCCAACGTCATGACCGAGTTACACACTTTGTACTCTTTGGAAAATTCGGCACCAGCGAATGTGAGGGCAGAGCACCTTCAGACATGCGAAGGGCCGTGACTAAAGAATTATTTATTCCTTTGTCAAAAGCCTCTAGCTGTGTTGTGAAATATCAGAAAGCTCCTGAGGGCTGAGGTTTCATTTGTTTTGTTCCCAGTTCTATCCTCCAGTGTCTAGAACAATTCCTGGCACACAGTACACACAAATAGGAGGATTTGGTGAGGAGTTACAAAACAGAAGCCAACGAGCAATAGAGTGAGAAGCTTTTGCCTTGTTAAAAAAGAAGAAAAGCAAATCTCATGAAATAGAAAGGCTTTTGCCCGACAACCCCCTAAGAAAGATTTCCCTCAAGCAGCCTGAATCCTAAGACACATTGGAGCAGAATTATTTTACTCTCCAAAGAAGGAGCTTGATAAGAAAGTTTGTGCTGGGAGCAGTGGTTATGCTTTGTGGTATCAGCTCGTTGCCATGCTCTTACAGTTTATCAGTGACCCCCCAGAGTTCATTTCTGCTCAGCTGTTCATATCTGTTGACTTTTACCAAATTAGAACTTAAAATAAAAATTTGGGTATGGTGGTGTAAGCCACGCCCAGCACTCTGAAGGCTGAGGCAGGAGGATCACAAATGCAAGCTCCCTGGTCAACTTAGTGACTTACTGAGACCCTGTCTCAAAAAGATTTTTAGAAGGGCTAGGCATAAGGCTCAGGGCAGAGAATCTGGGTTCAACCCCCAGTACCACACACACATGTGAAAAAGCCTAATAAAGTCTTAGTATTGTTGTAAAAACAGTTCTGATCCTGTCCACCCCATCCCCTACCTTAGGGTCTCAAGCTCCCTTCCCTTAGCTGGTTTGAAGAACAGTGCTTTTAGGAGGTGGTGACTCGCAGCTTCCTGCCCTCGGTCAGGTCAGAGCTTCCAATCCAAATTTTGAGCTTTCTGAATGCCTGATGATTTTCTGAATTTGGATTCCGAAAACCTCAGCCCTGATTTGTCTTTCCAGGAGCACTCTATATTGTCAGTGATCTTAAAATATCTCCTTTCACTCCCGTATGGTATGAGCCTGTTTACTGGAATATGCATGACCAAATAGCCTGAAAAGAATAAGAATGTGGAGCCATATAGGTTAAAATCAGAGGCAGGCCAGAGAGAGAAACGCAGCTCTGCTGACTCCTTAGATAGCAGGACCTCCAACAGGAACATAAGTGACTCTGAACTTCCTGATTAAAGGAACATTCTGGTTTTGTACCACGTTAGGAAAACGTTAAGGTTTCCTCAGAGGGAACATAACCTCTCTCAGACACTTAGCTCTAGCTGAAATTGTTCAGTGAGACTTCAGAGACGCTCCATGAATTGTGTTCTCAACCACAGCCCTACAGAGGCATAGCGTAGCACAGATCCCACACGGGACGGGAACACAGTGCCCTGCACAACTCGGGAAGCAGCAAAGACATCTGAATCCATGTGAGGGGTCTCGAATTACCCCTAAGTAAACCACCCAGAGCGGCATTTTCCAAGCTACTTAGCAAATCCCACAACTTCAGGATACTCTTTCTGATGGGGAATAAAAGGGCCCCCACAGGCTAATACATCTAGAAGAAAGTGGAATTTAAGTTCAGATTTAAAAAGCACAGGACTTGGTGAAATCTTTATCATAGCTTTGCACTGTGAGACCCTCAAACGGATGGTATTTCTAAAATCACCTGGCCGTGGAGCCCTCTCTGGGCTCCAAGATCACTTATTAGAAGAGCACGTTTTGGGGAATACTGAATTTGGCTTCTCTGTAATATTTGGAAAATTACTTTAACTCATTGGTTCTGTGTTTCTTCATTTGCAAAGTAGGAATTCTGTAATAGTAGCTGTGTCTGTAGCTGAGGGCTGTGGCGAGATTTGGATGGAGTCTGTACAGCGCTCTCTACTGAGACAGTTGAAAAAATTTTAGATCTGAGATCCTAGAGGCTATCAGGGGCCAAGGTTTCCTCCCACTTCCTTTCAATTTATTTATTTATTATTTATATTATGGCTGGGGACTGAAGCCAGGCCCTTGTGCATGCTAAGCACACATACTCACCAAGCTACACCCCAGCCCTCCTCTTCCCTTTGTAAAGATGAGGACATTGACCTGGAGCTGTAGCTCAGCAGTGGAACCTGCCTTCAGTCCCCAGCATCCTAAAAAGGGGGGGGGGAGCGGAGGAGGGGGCGGAAACTGAGTCCCAAAAGGATGAAGTGATCTATCTCCCCAGCAGCTCGGCGGGGCACTCTGCCGTGCCTGCTAGAAGCTCTTCAAAACAGAAGCTGATAAAAATTCAAGATTATCATGATGAGCATCAGTCAGGTCTGGGCTCCAAGTCCACCTTGAGGGCGCCCCCACCCAAGATGGTGCTGCCTGCTAAGTGCTTTCATTCTGTGTCCCCCTGTAATCCTGTTTCCTGCTCTTTCTGTTGAGCTGCAGCCTGTTCTCTGTCTGCCTCTAGCAGGTCCTAACCCCTTTCTAGGCATGGCATTAAATCTGCTAAACCGGATGCTCCATGTCACCTAGAAAAACTGTCAAATGAGGCAACATGGCCAGTTCAAGGGGTCAGTGTCAGGAAAGCAGTAAACTCCTTCCGACAAGACGATTCATCCTGGGGTTGGGAGGCCTCCGTCCAGCCAGGGTTAACTCTGATCTGTGTCTCGTCAGATCCAGCAGTTTATCCAAGACCTATCAGACATCTGGGCAGAGGTGAAAAAGAAGGACCAATCGCAAGGCCGGGCGTAAGGAGGCGGCGTGCCTCCAGAATGTCCTGAACAGACACTGCAGAGAGAGAGAAAGCTCCTGGTGAGCCTGCAGTCCAGTCAGCCCAGGCTAGCAGCAGAGGACCTTGTCTGGTTTCCTATTGGCAATACCTTGCCATGTTACCCATGTTACCCTCAGTCCATCCCAGCCTTGAGGACATTAAATGGTATAAGAAGTTTGTTCTGAAGTTTGCTGTCTTTTTGATAGTTTGATTATGGAAGAAAGAGTTAATGAGGAGCCAGGCATGGTGGTCATCCCAGCATCGGGAGGCTGAGGCAGGAGGATCACCATGAGGTTGAGGCCAGCCTGGACTACACTGTACGTTCAAGGCCAGCCCGCACTACATAGCAAGGTCCTGTCCCCCAAAAATAAAAGTTAGTGAGGGGGAGAGCCCCATGAGCATCCCCTCTCAAAGCTACCCACTTGAGCCTCCCCGGAACTAGAGACCACGACTTAGGTCGATATCTCCTGGACTTTGAACTTGAATATAGTTAAGTGGTGGGTTCAGGGGATCCCTCTGTTCTGCAACTTCAGAACTCAGCACCACCCTCCGAAGCTGGGTACAAAGACTCAGTGGCCCTGTGAGGGCTGCTTCCCACGCTGGAGCTGCCAGGCGCTGAGTCAAAACTCTCGCTGGCCTCAGGAGCAGCCCAGCTCCTTACCCTGGTGCACCCTTGAATGGGCCACCTAAGGTCAGCAATGGCAGTGCAGGAGCAGCCCGATGGGAACTAATGAGGGACCACTACTGTGCCAAAGGACAACCTCAGGAGCCTCGTGGCAGGCTGCATGATGATTAAAACTAGCAAAGCGAGAGTCCGGGGCATCGCTCAGGGGCACAGTGTCTGCCTGGCAAGCGTGAGACTGTGAATTCGATTCCTGGTTCAAAAAAAATACAATAAAATAAAACCAGCAAAACTAAACCACAGAGGAATAAACGTAAAGTTTTGAACTTAGGTTTAAAAATTTATCAGCACATTCCTAAGTCGTCAGTGCAAAAGCCTAACCTACAGGGAAATAGTTTTATTTTTTATTAGTATATGTATTATTTTTTATTAGTACATGTTTGCAGGACATATGATTACATATGATTACATGTACATATGGTACATGTGCACAGCACATCTGTATACTGTGGAGGTCCCCGTCTCCTCTCCCCCGTCCATCCATCTCTGTCCCCTTCTCTTTTGCTAAAGATCTATTTCTCTATGTCCTATTACAATTCTTTATTTTGCACTTTATTTGTGTCTGGAGTGTTTAATGTCAGATAATCCATGTAGCAGTCAGTGCCATTTGCATACTGCAGGGGGAGAGAACAAGGCCTTACCAAGAAACAAACCCTCCCTGCAAACCAGCACCATGAGCGGGCTGCTGCCGGCCAGGGGGCAGCCAGACCCAGCCCCTTCCAGCACACGGGCTGGTAAACAAGAGGGGCCAACCCCCCCCCACCCCCCGTAAGCAACCAGCTGATCCAGAGAAACCCAGGCTGGGATGGTAGCTACTGAGGTGGGATGCAATTTGATGCTGGTGGTGTTTGGTGTTCCCTGACCTTGCAGGTCTAGGGCTGGTGGTTTGATTGTCTATTCAGATGGTAGCAGTATACAGTGTGGCATCTTGGGAGATCTCCTTCTGAGGGCAGTGGCCATTGCTAATCCCCTATTATCTTGTTCTGAAGTCCTGTATCATTTTGACTCTTTTGTTGTGTTGGGTTCTGTTCTGTTTTGTTATATCCAATAGCACGGGCAGCTATTTCAAAGACAGCAAGATTCTATTATGGTAGCGTTTTGGATTTACTATTGTATTGTTTTGAAGTCCTTTATTCCATTCATTGTTTTGTTTTTATTGTTCTGTTCTGTTCGATTTTTACTATGTCTGAAGGTATCTGCAGCTACTTTGAAGACAACGAGAGGCCTTATGGTAACCATCGTTGATTTCATATTGTTTTGAAGTCCTGTATCACTTACACTGGTGTGTTTTGATTGGCTTTATTCTATTTTCCTTGGTTTTATCTTCTTTAACATAAATAAATATTTAAAAAGAAGTTAAAATAAAGATAAACCATGCCATGCTTAAGCTTGTGTTTCTGATTTGTTTCACTTAACCTTGCGGTCTCAAGGTACATTCCTACAAATGACTCAAGTTTATTCTTCTTTGTGGCTGAGTAGTACTCCACTGTGTGTAAATATTTTCCTTATCCATTACCCCCGAGGTTCCATCTTACTCCAGAAAGAATGGCCATCACTGAGAATCAAATAATGAAAGCTGATGAGGCTGTGAGGGAAAAGCTCTTGGTGGGAATATAAGCTAGTATAACCACTTTGGAGGTCACAGAGGTTCCTCAAAAAATTAAAGCTAGAAATTCCTTCTGACCCAGTTATTCCCCTTCGAGGTATCTTCCCGAAAGAGTGAAAGACACCATCTTACAGTGGTAATGCATGCCCATGTTTATAGCAGCATGATTTATAATTGCTAAGTCTGAGACACAGTGCTTATTGAACATGTACTGCCTGTAAATCAGCTTTGTGAAAACCCTGTGAGCACCATCAGGCTGAAAATCACCCTACAAGGATGTTGTTTCTCCCGTGGTCCTGTGATCCTGCTGCGCTCTCAGACTGCCAGGCATTGTGATGTCTGCAGGAAGACACAGCTGTAAGTGTGCCTGGGTCCTGGGCAGGCAGCAGAACCCCCACCTTACTGCAGGGCTTCCCCAGAGGAGCAGGAGCAGTAGCAGTCACTGGGGACTGTTAGACACCCAGATTCCCAGGCCCCCCAGGCCTGAGGCTCAGAGTCAGGATGAGACCCAGCAGTTCCAATCCGCATGGATCTCCTCGCTCAGCAGGAGAAGCTGATGGATACCTAGGTCTCCTCCTGTATCCAGAATGCCTGGGACCAGAAGTGGTTCACATTTTGGAATATTTGCACGCATATATATAGTGAGATAGCTTGCGTATTTAACCCAATCCTAAACACAAAATTGGTTTATATTTCAGATACACCTTGTACGCATAGCCTAGAGATAATTTTGTATGGTATTTTTAATTACTTGGTGATGTTTCATCTCATGAGGGCAGGTTTGGAACTGTCCACTTGTGGTGCTATGTGGGTACTCGAAAGGTTCTGGGTTTTAGAGCATTTTAGATTGTGGATTTTCACATTAGGCATGTTCAATCTGTGCGGGGTTAAGTACACAAAGATTCAGGTACCTGTGTAGGCATGGGTGTATCAAATTACGCATGGCTTTGTTACAGGGATGTGACCTCAGGCAGGCTCAGTAACACTGCCGTCTTCAGGTCTGATGCTGGAGCTTGAAATTCCCCACGGAGGGAGCTGGGGAAGAAACCAGGATTCTTAGCAGGGCATGATAGCTAGTGCATGCCTGTATCTGCGAGGCTGAGGCAGGAAAAACCACACGTTTGAGCCCAACCTGAGCAACACAGTGACTTAGCAGGATCTTGTCTCCAAATAAAAAATAGAAAATGGGGAGGGGGAGGTGGCTGAGTGTGAAGGTCCTGCGTCTGATCCCCAGTGCTGGGAGACTCAAAGGGATTCTGGGGAGTGCGGCTCAGCGGGGTGCAGCTGATTCATCAAGAGACTCCTCCCCGCACCCTCCCCAGAGCCCAGCTCTGGACACAGGCTGTGCTGTACCAGAAAGGGCCGGCCACAACGGGGAGCAGTGGGCCTGGCCTGGTCCAGGCAGAGCTCTCTCTGGATTGGGGTGGGGGGCAGAGGTCATCTTCCAAACTCAGGATGGGCGAGTTCCACATGGCACCCAGAGGTGTTGGGGACTCCCCACCCCACTCACAGGTGCTGAAGAAGGATGCCTCTGAAGTAACCTCCTCAAAAGGATCCCTTCTCCACTGCTGGTGGGAGTGCGGCCTGGTGCGACACTGTGGAAATCAGTGTGGGGGTTCCTCAAAAAGCTCAAACTGCAGGTTCCCTGTGACCCAGACTTTCCCCTTCTTTGTATCTTCCAGAATGAAGAGCATCACACCACAGCGATACACGCACACCCACGTTTATGGCAGCACAGTTTGTAATAGCTAAACCTTGCAAACAGCCCAAATGCCCATCAGCTGAGGAATGGATAATGAAAATGTGGGGTTTTAAGCAGCCAGATACATACAGGCACAGATTCTCTGTGACGAGCGTTATCATGTATGTCTAACATGTACCCCAAAATTTTAAAAATGCAAAAATAAAAGTAGCTTCCTCTGCCAGTGGAGCCCCGGGACGGAACCCTGGGAGGTAGGAGGGGATGAAAGGCAGACAGTTCGGCTCCTCCTCGCCAAGGCCCCCAGCCTCCCTCCCGCTGTCCTGGTGAGGTGGTGTTTGAGGAGCCCCATCTGTCGGGCAGAGCACTTCCTGCGGGCTTTGTATCAGGAGACAGAGCGCCCTCCCTCCTCCCCTGGCCCCAGCACCCCCCAGAGATCGTTTCCTGTTGACCACAATGGGGAATCAGGAAGGGTCGCCCTTGGAATCCCTGTGATCACACACAAGCTCATCTTAACACGTGCACATTTACACATGTGTGTGTGTGTGATTCATTCTGACCTGGTTGCTTTGTTCAGGTTAAAAAAAAAATAGCCCTGGGACATTAGAAATTCTGTGGGTAGGCAGATTTCTTGAGTACAGCAAAGCCACAAATCTACAAGCATTCCCAGAGATTCTTGGGGGCCTAGTGAGAGGCTCCCCCTGAGGGGGTTAGGGCAGCAGTAAGGTGGCCCCTCAAGCCTCCGTCTGACTCAGTCCTTTGAGGGCTTTCTCAGCCCCTCCGCGTGGCTACCCTGCCCCTTGTGTCCACAAAAGGAAACTGAAGTCTGCCCCACTAACAGAGATTCGGGCTCCAGATGCACAGGGTCTCTTTCCAAGAACGAGGAGCTAAAGCTGAGGGCCTGCCTGGAGGTTTCTCGGCAAGAAGAGACGTTATTAGTTCATTAGAGCAGAAATAAACTGATTGGTTCCAGAAATGGATGGTTCTCATCAGCAGAGGCCGGAAGTAGCAGAACTCTGAGTGTTTTATGGTTAAAGAGAGGGAAGCGGGGGCAGCCTTCCAGGGGCTCTGTCTCCTGAGCGCTAGGGCCACGTCTCCCACCAAAACACACCAAAACTCCACCAACACAAGGAAGGCAACAGAGGCCCGAGGCAGGAAGGCAGGAAAGGTCTGTACAAACCAACTCCACAGGAGCTTGGTGCACAGACCTCCCCATGCCCGTCACAAATGTCATGCTCCATACTCAGCCCCTGGAGAGGGCAGAATTGGAACCTGAAAGCTCTTGGGATGAACCCTGTCTGGCTTGAGTAGCCAAAGAGCTCCCATTCTGTGGCATTTGTAATTGGCCCTCAGGCTCAGACCCTCCCTCAGAAGGATTTTCACCTTCAAAGCCCTCTCCCCAGCCTCCAGGCCCCAGCTCCACACCTTGTGGGCTGGGCTTTGGGTCAACTGGAAGCTTTCACTTTTCATTTCAAGCCTTAGTAGGGCTGACTGTGCAGGCACCTGACGGTCCCCAGACTTTCAGTCCCAGCAGTGCATGCTCAGCAGGGTCACAGAGGCCACGTGGAGTCCCGCCAGACGCCTGCCTGCAGCCCATGGGGAGCACGGACCCTGGCCAGTGGAGGCTTGCCAAAAGGACTGAGGGTCCCTCTACCTTAACTTGAAACTCAAGGAAACAAATCCCCAGTGTGGACAGTTTAGCACAGGCTTGAAGGCACCCAGAGTGCGACATTGTCCTCATAGGAGTGGAGATGGGAAACGTAACCATGTCAGGGATTTTTATGAGAAAAAGAGCTGGATCTAGAAATATCCACCAGAATGACAGCGAGCTCCATAGCAATGCAAACCGAACTGCTGGTGTGCGTTCTGCAGTCTGTGTAATAGATGACTACAAGCTTGGAGCCCTAAACCAACAGCCACTCGGTTACACACAGTAGTGGGTCAGAAGTCGGTGTGGCTGGACTGGGCTCTGGCTCGAGGACTCATGAGGCTGAAGATAAGGTACCAGCTGGCCGGGTTCTGACCTGGGGGTTCAGGGGAAGAACCCACTTCCCAGATCATTCAGGTTGTTGATACAACGCGGTTCCTACAGCTGTGAGTCTCCTTGTTGGCTGTCAGCCAGGGGCTCCGCGCTCCTATAGACCAGCTGCATTCCTAGCTGCTCAGCCCCCTCCAGCTTCAAAGGCAGCCGCAGCACACAGAGCCCTGTCGGGCTTTGAATCAGACTCTTCCTATTCCCGGCAGAGAAACGCTGCTTTGAAGGCCTTGTGTGATTAGATTAGACCCGTCCTACAAACTCCCTTTTGCAGTGTATTTGGGAGTGGCTAGGAAAGACCTGGAGGCCATGTCAGACTGTTCCCAACCCCCCTGAGCAAGAAAAGCGGCCCCCCAAAAAGAAAGAAAAAATAGAAAATCAGTGACAACAGCTGAGAGAGCAGAGGTGGATGGACAAGGAGAGACCACGACAAGGTGTGGCGTGGAAGGAGGGAAATACTTTGTGTGTGCCCTGAGCTAACACGTACTGATGATTTTCTCATCCACACGGGCTCGCCCGTTGCTTACAGTCAGCAAACGGACCAGTACGGGGCTCTCTCCCTGTGTTTCATGTGACAGTTTTATTTATACACACACCTGGGTTTTTTAGGACGGAGGCAAGACAGTCCACTGCTTTTAGGACAGTTCTCCCAGGAATTTTAACCAACCAAGGTTCCGAGCCACTGTTTATAAGTAATAACTTTGTTGAGATATAATTCACGCACCAGAAAGTTCTCTCTAAGGTATGCAGCTCAGTGTTTTTTTGGTATATTAGCACAGCCCTACAGTGCCCACACAATCAACTTTAGAACATTTTCATGATCTCAAAAAAAAAAAAATTCCAT